AAGATAACATCTACATGTCAGCTGTTAGCTTCATCGTTTTCTTTTATCAAGTGTGCACAAAGACTTGCTTTCTGCAAGTTGAAGATTTTCAAAAATGGTTTGTTTTTCATTAGGCAAAAAGGGACACTGGAAATTTCCTCTCTCTATCTCTCTCCTTGCTACACATTCAAATCTTCTTTTTATTAGTGTGTCATATCATAATGTAACATAGTATGGATACATTATTAAACAGAGAAATAGAGAAGTCACCGTATGCCGGTGAAGAGTTCAAATTTTGATCTCTACTCGGCAATCAGGGTCATTGAACAGTGAGGGTTCTTTATCGTACCAACGCCTACCGTGATACGGGGCCTCGGGTTTTAAGGTCTCATCCAAAAGACCCGTGACTCTCACGTGTAGTGCCGGGCGCTTAGGGAAGGAACAGTCCTTGCACTGTTTACATCTTAGCCGCGGTGCGGTGAAAGAGAATCGTACCCGGGCCTCCCGATCACGAAACGAGCACCCTTCCACCAGGCTACCCTGACCGGCTGAGATAATTGCGATACTTCATTACATAACATGTACAATTCTCAAATGCCATAACCAAATATTACAGATTAACGAATATCTAAGACATGCCACTTTTTGGTCATTTATTAGCTCACCTGAGCTGAAAGCTCAAGTGAGCTTTTCTGATCACCCGTTGTCCGTTGTCCGTCCGTCTGTCCGTCCGTCCGTCTGTAAACTTTTCACATTTTCAACTTCTTCTCAAGAACCACTGGGCCAATTTTAACCAAATTTGATACAAAGCATCCTTAAGTAAAGGGGAGTTTAAATTGTTAAAATAAAGGGCCAAACCCTTTACAAGGGGAGATTTTCAAGAAAAGACAAAAATAGGGTGGGGTCATTAAAAATCTTCTTCTAGGGAACCACTGGCCAGAAAAGCTGAAACTTATGTGGATGCATTCTGGGGTAGTGTAGATTCTAAATTGTTAAAATCATGACCCAAGGGGGAAAGGCGGGGCCACAATAGGGAATCCAAGTTTTACATTGAAATATATAGAAAAAAACTTTAAAAATCTTCTTCTCAAGAACCACTGGGCCAGAAAAGCTGAAACTAATGTGGAAGCATGCTGGGGTAGTGTAGATTCTAAATTGTTAAAATCATGACCCAAGTGGGAAGGTTGGGGCCACAAAAGGGAATCCAAGTTTTACATTGAAATACATAGAAAAAAATCTTTAAAAATCTTCTTCTCAAGAACCATTGAGCCAGAAAAGCTGAAACTTATGTGGAAGCATCCTGGGGTAGTGAAGATTCAAAATTGTTAAATTCATGATCCCCTGGGGAAGGGTGGGGCCACAATAGGGAATCCAAGTTTTACACTGAAATATATAGAAAAAATCTTTAAAAATCTTTTTCTTAAGAACCATTGGGCCAGAAAAACTGAAACTTATGTGGAAGCATCCTTGGGTAGTGTAGATTCTAAATTGTTAAAATCATAACCCCCTGGGGGCAGGGCGCGGCCACAATAGGGAATCCAATTTTTATATTGAAATATATAGAAAAAAATCTTCTTCTCAAGAACCACTTGAGAAAAGCTAAGACTTTTGTAGAAGCATCCTGGGGCAGCGTAAATTCTAAACTATTCAAATCTTGTCCCCTGGGGGTAGGGCGGGGCTACAATAGGGAATCCAAGTTTTACATTGAAATATATAGGAAAAATCTTGAGAAATTTTCTCCTCAAAAACCTCTTGGCCAGTAAGGCTGAAACTTATATGGAAACATCCTGGGGTAGTGTAGATTTTAAATTGTTAAAATCATGACCCCCCTGGGTAGGGCGGGGCCACAATAGGTATTAAAAAAAGATCGTCTGGTGAAGAACAGGAGGGCCAAAGTTATTCAGGTGAGCGTTTAACCCACGGGCTGACTAATTGTGTAGAGATAAAACTGCAAGTGCGCTTGCGTAGATTGGAATTCAGGGGATAATAGTTAGACGAGTCGTTTTAAAGAAATTCATATAACTCTCTTACCAGAGGACACGCTTCTCCATGCATACACTCTGGTCAGAGACAGGTTGATGAGACGGCCTCTATTTATAGAGTCGTTCTCGACGACGAGGTAAATTTTGAACAGTTTTAATTACGAAAGTTGTCTTATAAGTGTTTGAGACAGAAATGCTTCAATTCTGCTCTAGGACGCAGTAAATGGCCGGTACACTTTATAGCTAGAGCAAAACAAGATACTGATGATTTCTCTCTCTCTCTCTCTCTCTCTCTCTCTTGCGATGATCATGTTAGTCTTACCATGTATTATGAATGAGTTTTAAATAAAACTTTACGTACAGTTTTGAAATCATTTCGGTTTTACTTTTCAATCGATTTCAGGGCTTTCTCATTTCTTCTATAATAACGTGTTTTTTAAAAAATGAAAACCAGTACAGATCATGATGTTTTCTTCATTTTACTTAGAACCTTACGGGAGTGAAACCCATTCCTCTACGGGTACTAGGCTACACTCTTGTCGCTGCATTAAAAGCAAACCCTTGTTTATCACAATGCATGAAATAATATACCACTGGCTGACTTTCTAAGCTTTATAAAAGCTCATCTTGTTACGTAAATGTACATTATTTTGTGATATTAAAAGAAGGGATGTCCCAGTACCAGGTAGAGGGAGTTTCTTTTCCATAGAAGTTATCATATCCATTCAATAGAACAATCCAAGAAAAAGGCGCGAAGATAATTTACTTGTGAAATTTGGCGCGAAGTGATTCTGTCACCATTTCGTTGAAGACAAATGGACAGATCCAGTAGTTTAGAAATGCAGAAAAAATGTTACACGGACATGTCCGTACAAAGAATCGCGAAGAATAAACAGGTGCATGCAAGAAAACTGAAGGAAGTAAATACATCACTATTTTGCTTCAGTTATATGATTCTTTTTTCTGCAAACTGTGATTGTAAAAATGCAGGTAACACATTCCGCTTGCACAATATCTAGCTCACTAAGTATGATCTATTAGTTTCGGATCATGGAAAACTGATCCTTATACTGCCTGTAGCTCATGGCGTCAAGCAATAACTCAGATTTTTTTTTTTTCAGAGTTGATTTTTTTATTACTCTTTCTTCTGATTGTATGTATTGGATGTGTTTGCATTGCTCGTTCAACCATGTTTATTGCTCTAGTCACATTTGACACAGTTTGTATCCAACGTAATTATCGCCACTACAAATGTTTTATAATTAACATTGTCCTTTTACATCTGTTTCCCATTGTATATGTAATGCATGTATATAAGTGCACTAACAAGGCGTTTATAATTTGTGACGTCAAAATAAAAAAAATCGTAACTTATAACCTTTTGTCCTCTTCATCCGAAGCTTTAAACACATTTTATATGCAAAATAGAATGGTAATATCTTGAAATAGGTACACCTTATTTGAAGTTACGAGGGATGATAAAAAAGTTCGCGAACTAATTGAATAACTCCGTTAAAAGAAATAAAATAAGGTTTCAATGCTCATTTTTTTTAAAAGTAGTCTTCTCCAATTTTAATGAACATCTGCCTTTGTTCTGCCCATAAGAAGATAAAACATTTCTCGGAGTCATATTTCTTACCATGCAAGTTATTTTTTATAACAAGAAAAGTCAATCTGCCAGAAATGGCCAAATCTCGGCAAAAGGATGGATGGATAAGGATTTCCCACCTCTGTTGATTTTTCGATGAAATCTTGGCTTACGATTGGTTGAAGTCTGTCACGTGAAGGGGGTGTATTACTTATACCTAGTCGCTTGAAAATCAATACATGGTCGATCGGAGTTATCGTTCTTTTGTAACGTTCGAACAACTCGAGTTCACGCGATTTGCCGAGTGTCTGTTGACAATGTTACAGTTAACTAATGTAAGTAACGAAGATGGAACCCTTTTCTCCCTTTACTGAAAGTCTTCAAAACTGTCAGTACGTTATTACAGCACGAAACACTCGCAAAACAACATTACGTCACACAACGTGACGTCATAATAGGCATTGTATGAGTGATGAAACATATATATATTGAAAAAAAACAATTTTACAAACCATAGACAATGCATAAATATTTTATCGGTGGGGTAAATTCGTTACATAGTTTTTTAGTGACAGGGTACGGGATGATACCTGGTTAGTAAATTCCATACCTGGCTCGGCTTCGCCTCGCCAGGTATGAAATTTACTAACCAGGTATCATCCCGTACCCTGTCACTAAAAAACTATGTAACTAATAATCCCTTCCAAAAAAAAGCATGGTGACCATCACAACCCGAGTCCTCTGTCTCGGGAGCGTCGTTTATCCAATGTGGAAAAAGTATGGGCGCCTTCTCTTTTTTTTTTCATATCTCATATGTATAAAGTCTAAAGTAAACGATTTTTTAGGGATTTAATAATTATATCATTGTCCAAATACTCAACTATTTTTCTAATTGTAACTTGGCGATCTCTCAAAACAAATTGCTCAACTAAGGATAAATCTTTTTTACCGGATTGCTTTCGCTAGGCAGCAGAACAAATGTCATATTTAACCATCTCCCTGTCTTCACTAAAACAATCAATCCAATTAATGATTGAACTTCTGCTAAGTCTTTTGTTTTCATAAACCTTGTACAAACTATCATATTCTACTGCAAGGGAATTTCCGAGATATACGTTTAACTTTAAAGCTGTTTGTTGCTCGAGTAGGGCTGAGTCTACCATTTTTTGTCACAAGTCACCTACATATTGAAGTCTTTTTCAGATTGTGACGTCACAAACACGAAGAAAAACATTATATAACATCTGCTATTTATAGAACATTTGTATGACTGTATGTGTGCCAAATTTCATTCTGATCTGAATTGTGATTTTGTAAGTATAGAGATAGTTCGCGAACGTTTTGATCACCCCTCGTAGAAGTTTGATTTCAGAATTTAGAAATCATTCATTATAGAATATTCTCAATAAAACTCTTGAAAGTAAATAAAAACAATAAGCTTCTTCAAAGTATTCAAAGTAATACCGATTTATTCAAGTGCCTAAATAATTTTCACAATAAACAGAGTACAAAGGTAATAAGATACTTTCTTCTTTCATCCCTCTTTTTATCAATTTGACTTGTTATAAAAATTGATGCATCGTCCTGTCCCTGTCCCATTTACATCCGAAGTAATTTTAGTCACTAGACACGTTTAATCATAATCATCAGTCCTAATTTATGTACAAAATACGTAATGTCCCTAAACTCGTGTGACCATCATCAGTGTTCCCCTCACCTCGGTCCCATACTCCACTGGGGGATACCATGGCCTTATCCAGTCTGTAGAATTCCAGGGTCCATTGAGAAAGCCATAGTAGCAACTGTTGAACCACCAGCCGCCTTTACCAGAGTTAGAAGCACAGTTAACAACTGACCTGTCATTGTCTCTATCCCAGGTTGTAAAGGACATCCCCGACAAATCATAATAATTGGGATCACCAGTATTAAACATTCTATCACCTACAACATATTAGAAAAAAATAATCTTACTCTTTAAATTTCCAGATTTTCAAAACAAACAAGGCAGGTCATTAGTTATAAGGATTTAAACCTTACATACCGAGGGTTCCTGTGGCCGGTCCACCCAGAAAGAGTTGATAATTTTCTTCTTCATCAGAAACAGAGAACCGATTATACAACTCATACAGCGTTGTGTCATTTACTAGAGTTATGGAAACATAGAGAGAAGAGTCATTCCCCTTTGTTAATTGGTGGATCACGTCATTTCCTGTTTCAAAGTATAATAACCAATCAGTTAAGATGTGAATTACAATATACATGTTATTTTTTTTTATAAGTATAACTTAACTTCGAAAAGAAACACGTTACATATTAAAGCTACCTACTGTACTTATATATATATATATATATATATATATATATATATATATATATATATATATATATATATATATATAACATTCATTTCAGGCCATCTTTAAAAAAAATGTTTGGTTGCCCTCTTCCGACCGACTGGCTGAAATGACTAGACTCAAAACTTTTCTAACGTCCAGGAATCAACTGTTTTTAATGCATTCCGGTAAACAGATGTTTAAAATTCAGCAATGATGTTGCATTGTTCTTGAAAAAAAAATCCCACCAACCTACCGACCCATTATTTATTCATCCTGAATCAGGAGAGGGGAAAAATTGAAATCACTTTTGTTAAGCAACCTTTGACTTCCAATATTTCTCGTAAAGATACGAATGTTGTGTTTTAAAAGTGTAATTTTACGGTAAAATTGGTCTCTCTCTTAATTTTGTTAATCGAAATATAAATAGTTTTACGCATAACTTGAGTAAAATCTTTCCAAGACCCACTGAAAAACATTGTCATATAGTGTTGAAAACGATCGAATTTGCCCTCTTTGATGTGTATTTGCTAATTCAAAGACGAATACGTTCAATCATTGTTAGATTGTATCAGTTCTGGAAATTGTACATAAAGCTTAGTTTCGTGTTAAACAAAATATCAAAGAAAGCGTCGTCACGTCACAATTTTGATTTAATTTTTCACTTTCTTTTTTGTTAAACAAGAAGAATATTGCTCGCCTTGTTTGTCCAACTTCTTACTTTATAATTTAATACATGAAGATAATTGGGTGATTTTTTTAATTTTCACCTAGGTTTATTTCGAGAATGTACTTAACTTTGATTAAAGATGTAGATGAAGATTCATATGCATTATTGAAGCTAATATTGAAAATTAGGTCTAAAATAAGACTAACATATCAATGTCATATAGCTCTTTCTCTCATCTTAAAGGACAGAGTATTTACTAAGGTCTAAAAGTGAGATGCAGAATAAGGACACCCACGGGCAAAGTCTTCTGATTGGTAGTCAAACTGAATATACTGGTTAAAACACAATTTCCTCGTAGTCCAGTTAATAATACACAAAATCAAAAATGTAGAGAATTGAGGCGCACTGAAACTAATTCACTTAACTAAGACTTTCGAGGTATTTATCATACACTCCAAACAGTCAATAATAGTAATACAGTTCAGGTTCTACCAGCTAATCCAATTCTCTGGATAATAAGCACGCTAAACAGATTTTTTTCAATACAAGAAATGTGAGAAATTTTAGTATTCACACACACAAAAAAAGAGAAATCATGCAACAGGTTACAACGTAGTCAAAATCACCTGCTCCGAAAAAAAAAACACCTGCAAGACGAATAGTGTTTTAACAACATAATTTTTTTTAACATAAACTTGTATATGAAATATATGAAGATAACGAACAGTATTCAGGCTCAAAAGTCCATCAAACAATACAAAATAGGAGCAGAGCAAACACGGACCTCCAAACATCAGAGGTGGGATCAGGTGCCATGGAGGAGTGAGCATCCCCTGCCGACCGGTCACACCCGCCGTGTGCTCCTTGTCACGATCGGGAAATAACGGGAAAATCCGTCGACAATTCAGTGTGTAAATAATGGCCTAGCAATTTGTATGAAAAACGTCAGTCAGCATTTGATTCAATGATAAATTGTATTTGCTGACAAGGTCATTGTATCGACAATCGAACTTACGAAAAGATTACTTTAAACGAGACAGCTGATATTCTTGTTTCATCAACTTGTTTGTCAATAATTTACCTCGTTTTAGAAATTGTACATACGTAGAGAATGCTCTTGCGTATCGAATCAACTGAGAGATATATACCCCGTATGCAGGTGATGAAGGTAGATTGCTGCATAAATAGGGAAGTTGACGATAAAATTATACCAAAAAAATCCAATCCCATAATTTTATAGTGATTCCAGAAATGGAATTGAACTTCAAGTATGAAAGCGGACCCATACTATGTAAATGCAATTTTATGAATGAAATATATGGAGATAACGAACAGTATTCAAGCTCAAAAGTCCATTAAACAATACAAAATAGGAGCAGAGCAAACACGGACCTCCAAACATCAGAGGTGGGATCAGGTGCCATGGAGGAGTGAGCATCCCCTGCCGACCGGTCACACCCGCCGCGTGCTCCTTGTCATGATCGGGAAATAACGGAAAAATCCGTCGACAATTCAGTGTGTAAATAATGGCCTAACAATTAGTAAGAAAAACGTCAGTCAGTATTTGACTCAATGATAAATTGTATTTGCTGACAAGGTCATTGTATCGACCATCGAACTTACGTAATGATGACTTTAAACGAAACAGCTGATATTCTTGTTTCATCAACTTGTTTGTCAATAATTTACCTCGTTTTAGAAATTGTACATACGTAGAGCATGCTCTGGCGTATCGAATCAACTGAGAGATATATACCCCGTATGCAGGTGATGTATATTGCTGCATAAGTAAGGGAAGTTGACGATTGAAAAGTTAAAGTCATCACGTTTATCATAAAACTTGGTTGTTAGATTACCATTTTTTAACGTCTTTTTCAAGTAAAATACCCAAAGATGAAACAGATGTGTCAGACTCTGTAGTATCTTTTATCTCAAGCTCACCAGGATATATCGTATCGACATAAGAATGGAAATAACCATTGTTAACTGACAATACGTTGTCGATATATCTAAATGTCGAGTTGAAGGCCACAGCAAGTGTTTTCTTCTTTTCACGTATAAGATCTTGGACAAATTCTGGTTCATATGAATACAGAAAAGGTCTGCTAATAACGGGCGCAATTGGTACCCATGGGAATTCCAATAGATTATTGGAAGACCTGGTCTCCTAAAACCACATAGATATTGTCTATCAGAAACTCAAGCATCTTTTTAATGTCAACTTCAGAATACTTGTGTGTACAATCAGAATGTTTTTTAACAAAATAATTTTGCAAATGACCAATGACAAGGTTAGTATATTTACGAGTTCCATGTAATAAAATAAAGCTGCTTTTACACATTATTCCTCGAATTTAAAAAAAAGTCAAAGTTCGCATTTACTTATGATTAAGTGCAGTCATCCTTTATCTTCTAATTAATCAAGTGACAAATAGTAATTGTTATAAATATTTCATATGTCTAAAAATCAAATCTTTGCTTCGATACAAAACTTACATTATCCCTTAAAACGTCATTTTTCAATCTAAAGAGCGAATGAATGACTGGATATTAAGTTATATAATTACCTACCCAGGCCTCTTGATATGAATCAAAGTTCTGATTTTAATCATTTTATATTTACCGATCCAGATATCCTGTTCTGGGGCACCAAAACCATTCTTATATTCATCCCATGCTCTGTAAAAGCTCAAGGAACCATTTACTCTTTTCTGGATTACCTTTAAAATATTTAAAATGATAATAAAAACAAGATGTGTTTTTGAAACACTGATGCCCCCGTATAGCAGCTTATGGCGAAGGTTAAAGTTTCTTAAATGCAGGTCAAACTCCAGGTCAAGAAATAAAAAATGTTGTTACCCAAAGAAAAGTCTCGTCTCAAGAAATATACATGTGAAATATGAAGGCCCTAGTGCAAACCGTTGAAAAATTATTGCGTAGGTTAAACTCCAAGGTCAAGATCAATGCCAAAATTTTTGCTATCCAAAGGAAGGTCTTGTCAAAAAGAATATACATGTGAGGTATGAAAGCTTTAACACCAACTGTTCAAAAGATTGGCTAAGGTTAAAGTTTTTCATAAGTAGGTCAAACTTCAAGGTCAAAGGGTCAAAATTGTTGGTATTTAAAGAAAGGGTAGTCAAAAGGAATACATATTTGAAGTATGAAAGCCCTAACACCAACTGTTTAAAAGTTATGGCCAAGGATAAAGTTTTTCAAAAGTAGGTCAAACTCCAAGGTCAAAGGGTCAAAGTTTTCGTTCTGGAAAGAAAGGTCTTGTCACAATGAGTAATATGTATGAAAGACCTAGCTTAAACTGCTTAGAAGTTATAGCCAAGGTGAAAGTTCTTTCAACAGTAGGTCAAAATTCAAGGTTAAGGTCAAAAGATCAAAGAAGTTGATATAAAAGGAAGGCCTTCTCACAAGAAATACACTTGTGAAGTTTTAAGGCCGTAGTCCTAGTGTTTAAAAGTTATGGCCAAGGTTAAAGTCTCATAAAATTGTGCAAAGTGGGCCAAACTCCAAGGTCGAGGTCAAAAGGTCAAATATGATGGCACCCAAAGAAAGGTCTTGTCACAAGCAATACACATGTGAAATATGAAAGCCATAGCTTCAATCAATCAAAAGTTATGAGCAAGGTTAAAGTCTTTGCGGACAAACAGACAGACAGACAGACGGACGGACAGGGCAAAAACAACATGCCCCTGAATCTTTGATAACGGGGGCATAATGATAATCATTTTTCATCATTATTATTCTTAGGATATGTGTTAGAATGATAAGTGTAAAATGTAAACTGAATCGAATTAATCTTTTGAAATACAAAAGAAGACATTCCAATGTACACAATACGTGTTTTGAGTTTATATGTAAATGATTAATCATTTGATTACTTTTGCAACTCTCGCAATCTTTTCAGATGTTTTTCGCGCAATTTTGATTCATGACATTGTCTTTCTATTGTATATACTTTGTGACGTCATAATACGTTGTTCAACGTTAGTTGCTATACATTTAAATAAACACGACTGATGAAGGCGGTAACACGGTTGAAATATTTCAAAAAGTGTTTTGAAGTGTTTTTATTGTATTACAAATAAGAGACTTTGAACATATATATATATATATATATATATATATATATATATATATATATATATATATATATATATATATATATTATATATATATATATATATATATATATATATATATATATATATATATATATATATATATATATATATATATATATATATATATATTACATACCGTCCAAGCACTGTCCAATGTTTCCATGTCACATTCAACTCTGACTGGACTGGAAATATTCCCATGAGGGAAAATTTCGTAAACACCAGAACTATTTTGACCAGCTTCTTTAACGTCCTTACAATCCCTTGGAAGAACTGAGATAAAACAAAGAAATGAATGAAGAGATTGTATGTTGAAACACATTGACCATGACAAGAAGGATACGGCAGGTGTATCCGATCGACAGGGGACTTTCTCCTAATATGTTTTTAGCGATACTTGTTTGCTCTGCTAACAATTTCCATCAGTCCAAAAGTCTTTTGAGCTTTATTACTTTTTGCTTTCTTCATATTTCATAAATGATATTTAAATAAACAAGATAACGATCCGTGCAGATCTACATACAGGTGAAATGTATGAAATACCTTTGCAAGGTAAATAACGTTTATTACTTTGGTTGGATTCTGTATTGCGAATAATTAACATTGTAATATTAGCATTTATCTATATTTAAAGATGAAGATAACGAACAGTGATCGATCTCACAAATTAACTAAACGAAATTAATCATCAACAGAGCCAAACACGGATTATTGGGTGGATTAGAGGAGTAAGCATTCCCTCTGAATATTGTAAATATTTTTGTAATAGTTTTTAATGCCCAATTGAAAAAAAAGAGAGATTTATTTTAAAGGTATTTTTTAAGGACCACAACATCATATTTTTAAATTGGGTAATAGTAACTTTACAACACTGACAAAACTTATGCTTATTATTATATGTTAATAAAAATATCAATTCACAAGCCTGTTCAGATTCCTGTGTCTCCAATCCATTACCAAATAAGGAGAACGATATCGAGATTGTTTTTATTTATTCTAAGGTCTCTCTTGGGATATTTTTTTCTTTAACCTCAAATTAAGAACAAACTGATATTTTAAAATTGCTCAAAATGTTAAACTGTGTTATATGCTAATAATTTAATTTTGGTTGTAAAGCGACATTTGATTGGATAAAAATATAAGAATATAGCATATAACCTGGGTTGCCTACGTCACAATGACTTACGTCAAAAACGTATCAATCTGCTTGACGTTACATTTAAAATATGTACAATTTAAAGGCATTTTTGAAGGAGAAATTGTTTTATTTTTTACACTTAATGATGGGAAATTAAGTTATAAGGAATGACTTTAATAGCTACCCAACTTATACTGGTATAACCTGGGTTGGGGCAGTTTACGCTTTATAAACCACTTCGTGGTTTATAAAGCGTAAACTGCCCCAACCCAGGTTATACCAGTATAACTTGGGTAGCTATTAAAGTCATTCCTTAACAAATTTTCCTTAAAAAGTAACATTGTTGTTTATTATATATTTGTTAAAATATATTTTTAAGATAGTGTTAAACACTAGAACTTTTATTGATTTGTTTGTTTGCTTATTTTATGTCCCTAAGAGAAATTTTCATTCATATTGAGACACCATCACTTGTTCACGGGGGACTGTATATTTAGAACTGTATACAGAAATAACAGGCCTTAGAACAGTTAAGGATTTTTCTTGTGTTGGAACCTAGTTCAACACAGGACTTCGGTTTTTACGATCTAATCCGAAGGACTGGTCTTCGCGCCACAGTGATTCGAACCCGGGACGTAAGGATCAACTCCTTACTTCACGACTCCAGAGCATAAGCATTGTGCCACATAGACGACAACTTTTTGAGTAAGTATTGTGCCACATGGACGACTACATTTAATGACTTTATTGCTAAAACTGGACAATGGGTAATCAGAAAAAATAAAACTTCCGCTTTCATATCTTTCTTTATCAATCAAAACGAACAAAAAAAAATTCTTCGTATTTCCATTTTAGCACTCTATGAAGGAATATTAATAAAAAGGAATATATTGTAATTACTATGCGTCGAAGTTTGTTATGCAAGTGTAATCATTCGAAGATATGATTCAACATTAGGTAGGCATATAAAATGTCATGAAATAGATGCTTGCTTTTTCACTAACTAGTGCAGACTTGGAATTTTTTTTATTGTATTGAAATAACGTTTAATTATATTCAGACTAACTTGGAAAAAAGAATTCAAATATACAATATATTGTAGGTAGTAAGTTTACCTTCACAATTATTTCCAACATAACCCATGGTACAGGTGCACCTGTAACCTCTTGTACTGGCCTTGTCTTCCTCACAGATTCCATTTTTACAATCATGTCTGTCACATACATGGACTACAGTAACGAATGTAAAAGGGTAATATAACAAACAGTGATTGACCTAAAAAATCTATAAACAATACCCACCTGTGAAGGTAGCATATACGCGGAGCCCTCTTGGGATCAGATGCCTAGGATAACTGATATTTTTTTTACAACACACACATTAAAAATCCGTACGGTCTACAACGCAATGGCAAGATAAGCCTGCTTCAAACATTCATAACTGATTTGCAAATATTTGGATTTTTAGAAATTTTTCCAGCAAAAAAAAATATATCGTTAACCATAGTTTCACTAAAGTATAGCCATAATAAACATACTTTTATATAATATAGTACACACTTTGATACTGAAGTAAACTATAGTTAACTATTGCATTTGTTTAGGTTGTTACACAGTGCGAACTTGACAATTTACCTTCGCAATTATCCCCAATATAACCAGGAATACAGTTGCACTTGTATCCTCGTTTTTTGCAATGGTCTGCCACACAGATTCCATTCCGACAATCATGTTCGTCACATACCTTGACTATAATAGAAAAAAATAGAAATTGAAGACAATTTTTGAGATATTGAAGTGACAATAATATTTCAAATTGATGAATGGTAAACATTATGAGATGTTTACTGACTAAATTTATTATATATACACAACCGATTTTCCATTGCGCCCAAAATATTTCCACTACGTATGAAATAGATATGCATCACCATTCAACTATTCAATTTATTGGATCTTTATTTTAAAACATTTAGTGTATATCACTGAGGGCTTGCACAATGAGAACTGTACTTTTGCTGACTCTCTCAATGGTATGCTTTTTTGTAATTTATCATTTTTTATCATTTTGTTTATTTTATACTTCATGAAGATCAGATATTTTGAAGAATGCAGCTAAATATGTTTTCACTGAGCATCGTCGAGTTTTCAGATCAAAGTGAGAGTGAAAACATGCCTTTTTAAAATGTCATAAACAGAAGATGCTTACTTTGACATATTTCCCCTGTAAACTCTTCAGGGCAAATACATATGTACTGAGGTCCTTTTTGTAACTTGAATTTCCCCCAGTGTAATTTGGATGTTCCTGTCTGTGACTTGTATTCCTCATAAATCCCGCCATTTAGGCATGGATTATGACTGCATTTAGCGCCTGAAACATTATAATCAAAATGGTTATCGTTTATAACGTTCTTTTTTCAACCAGTACATTAATAGCAATCCTTCAACGTTTCTTGTTCGTGTCCTGTAAATATCATAATTTTCTGTTTAAGCAGAATAAAAGTCATTTTCTTCTTTATCATTGCAGGAATTTGAAAGTGGGGACATGTTTATCTTCAATGGTTAATATGTCAAATCAGTTAAGTAATACTTTGCAATGGAACTTTTCGGGTGTTTTTAACATCACAATATAAGCCGACTTCTGTATGACCAGAAATTAAATCAATATACAACCAATCAGAACTCGACTTACAACGTTTGTTTGTTCGTTCTGTCAATGTCACAGGAAGTAGACTTGCAGCATACACGGCTAAGAAAGCAAAAACAATCTGAAAAATTAAGAACGGCATTTCAGTAACAATACAGATCTTTAAACGTGCTACTTTTCAAAAAGCGTGTGATTTTCGCGCGCTTTTGGTAACGTTCTGTGTATCGTTACGTGTAAATCGTTTCCTATAAGCTTCAATGTAAGTGGGAAACTTGCTACATTCTTGCAAGTAAGGTGTGAAATCGTATAGGCTTCGTTTGGATTTTTTTAAACATATGACTCCATGTGTAAACCTGTCAAATTCCGGTGTTTGTAACAATTTTATTCGGATATAGAAAATACAACCCATCATTTGGGTCATATTTAGGCTGACTTGTCTCATACCAAATGTAAGGCTTTTGATTTAATACTGAATCGGACTACGAAATCTCCGTCTACCTAGTCAATACAGAGGGCCCACGGCGGATGTGACGTGTCAACGGGGAACGCTTTCTTTAACTAGGTACCTGAACCCACCTCTGAAATTCCCATGGGTCCTTGTTTTATGCCCTCTTTACAGATTTTTTTAGATCAATTACTGTTCGATATCTGTGTATATTAAAGTATCTGTTTGCTTTTTTTCTGAAAAATATTGATGGATAGCAATTGCATTCAAAATGAAAATCAAATGTCCGGTTTTAGGGCACTAAGTGCTGTACACTATGGAAAGGTTCTAGAATTTTTTTTTTAAACGAAAGAATTTTTTTAACGAAAATCTTCAGGAACATACATCGTCTTTCACCCTTATATTACCAGATCGTGATAATCAACTTTAAAAAATATTTAAATTTTTATACATATAAAATTGATTGATTCATGATTATCCAATATAGAAGGTATTGTTCATCTGCATTTACGAACGTTAGGTTAGATATTTGGGGATTGTGGTGGGTGTCGAATGAAAACCAGGAATTTCAAATTTGTAGTTAACAAGTGCTTCAAAGTGTTATTTTTTTTAAGCAAAATGTTTCCTAAGGGGATGTGCCTGATATATCACGTGCTAATATATTTGAATCAGCTTTTCCCTTACGTAAAGGACTTGAAAATTTTAACAGAGTACTCAATTGGCGGTTCGTTGACAATCAATTGACTGTCAATTAACCATTAGTTAAATATTTCCCAATCAAATGAGAAATTTTTAATTAATTTGCATGAAGTTAACTATTGTTAAATAGTCCTATATTTTCTGTCAAACTGATTACTGTTGAATACGCGTATATTTTTTTGAGTTGACCATTAATTGAACACTCTTAGATTTTTTTGTGCAGATAAGCACTATTGAATACTACATTAATCAGTCCTTTTAGGGAATTTTGAAAATTTAAAAAATTAGCGTGCTTTGAAAAGGTGCAATTTCCCCAATGTCTAAAAGCAGAAAAAGTCTAAACTATTGGGTTACATATTTATAAACATTTATTTATATTAATGCATAAAATTGAATCCGCACACACCTGTTGCTACTTTCCCTTTCAGTGCTAAAAATAAATGTTAGTCAAACACATTGATATTTTATTACCTAAAAACCAAGTAACACAACTAGATATTTGATGCACGACAGGTTTTCGGAATTCTTGTAAAATGTTTGTAAATACACAGTGGAACTAGTTATAGTTACACTATAGATATTAATTGGTTAGTGGTAAATACACTAACAGTTTTTCATTCACGAGGGGCGGAGCCCCGAGTGAATAAAAACTGTGAGTGTATTTACCGCTAACCAATTAATATCTATTGTGTAAGTTACTTGTACCAGAGGACCAATGAGAGAAAAGCAAGTTGATAATTAGCACCGCCTACTACGAGGTATCAAGCCACGGTCCGGAGTCTGTATAAATAGCTGTCTCCATCTGCAAGGATCTTACTTAGCTGCGTCACTGTACTGCAAATTGTTGATAAAAAAATTCGGAATTGGTACGTGTGAAGATATTGTACCTTTGGAATGTTGAAGACGCAGAAAACATGACTTTTGTCAGGTACAGGGGTAGCGATTGTAGGCTTTTATATTCAAGCCGTGAACTCTGAAAGAAAATTTATCTTTCTAGATTTTTTTTTTTTTTTTTTTTTTTTTGAAAAAGGGGGGATGGGTATGGGAAACATCGCCATTTCTATATGGCAATCGGCGTACAGAAAAAATGAAATGATTTCTGACATTTTAATGAAAGTTTGAAATGGTATTGGAAGTAAAAAAAAACGCGGGGACTTCTGATGTGAAATTGCTATTTGTATTTGGAGACGGGAAAGACAATGACGAGAACTCGAGATAGGACGTATCATTTACTGATTAAAGATACGCGGAGAAAACATACAGAAACATTTATGAAGCGGACATCGACAAGCAAATGTTAGTATTTTTCAAATTAAAAATTTTGACTTAATTCATTCATCAGCCAGGTCTGGAAATTGACATCATTCATTCATCAGTCAAGGTCTTGTCACAGTATGGCTTGATGCCAAAAGGTAGGCGTGACTTAAAAAACTGTGATTCTTCTGGCAAATACACCACAGCAACATCAAAGCAAAATCTAAATTTACCGCCAGTCCTATGGTACAATTATTAGCACAAAAATCTTCTTCTTTTATATAATTTAGAAAAGAAATGTACAAAATTATCGAATTCTATATTTGCATAGATTTCAAATTTATAAAACATTAAAATGCATATGTATAAGTTAAGGAAACCCCGATCATTCAACAGAATATAAGATGAATTATGAATCCTGTGAAATATTATACAACATGAAAAAGATTTCCAATTCTTTGTCAGAATGAATTGAAAATATTAGATGCACATGTATTTGGCTACTTCGAAGTATGTGGCTCCAATCTTTGGTACCACCTTTTTCAGCTCTTCAATTTTTTTTTCATTTAAATATTTGGATTTCCAACGTGTCGGCATGAGCATCCCTGAAGAGACCTAATTTGTCGAAATACACATTTGGTGCATCAAAATTGGTACCGTATAAGATGTTTATGTATCAGAGGGGCGTTGAAATTCTTTTAGAAAGGGTTGAAGGGCAAAAAAAATAATGAACTATCCTTCTGTCTTTAATCATACAGACGAGATTAAAAGAATTAGCTAGATTACACGATCAATATGCAATAGTCCTATCTCACAAAAAAGGAACAACTTATTCATTGGTTGTTAGGCTAATTATTTTATTTGTATATTCGGGAAACGTAGATTTATATAATTCTTCAAGTTGAAACCCAAATTGAACTCATCAATTCCTTTCTAACAAAGGCATTTATCAAATCCGTTTCAGTATTAATTTTAATGTTTCAATTTTCAACAAGTAAATTGAATTTGAACTATCATACCTTATTCTGGAATCCTAAACTACATAAAAGTCCTTACCGCAAATTTTCATTTCATTTTTTCTTTCATCAAAGTCATGATATTCAAGTAACACTTGTTTTTCTACAATACTCAGACTGTTATAAGAAATTTCCGAATTTTCTACATTTAAGTAAAAAAAAAATTATAATTAACTCTATATATAACACTAATTCACCTACCTTTGAAGCTTGCATGGTGGTTGCTGGAACAGTCTGTTTTAGGTGAGTGACAACTCTCTATTTAAAGAGTAATGATTAGAATAAAGATATTGACAAATGTTATGATTGGCTATACTTTTTGTGATTGACAATTTTTATTAAAAATGACAACCAGTTTATAATTTAATTTTCTAGAAAAACCGTCACAAAAATATACTATACCTAACTATAGTTTACTCTATAATTGACTTTGCTGCATTATTTTTTTCTTGTTTGATACATAATTCATAATATCGTAAAGATTGCTTTGGTGGTTTAAACACTGGTATCCCCGTCTGAATTACTATGAAACTTTACTCTTGAACTTTTTTGAGATTCCAAAGCTTAGAACTTCTTCAATTCGATAACAGTGATGTAAAATTGGGTGATAAAATGTGAATATACCATTAGTATTTCAATTGAATATAAAAAAATGTGCATGTTTTAATATAAGAACATTAAATATAATAATCTGAAATCCATAGTAAAATACTTTGATTTACTATAGTAAAAACTTTGATACTATTTCAAACTATAATTTTTTTGGTACTTGGAAAAAGAAGGAACAATGTACATGTATGCTCACTAGCTTTACTTGCGTCGTACAGGTAACACATACATGATTCAAAATTTTAATAACTTTTTTAAAAAAAAAATTATGAATGGATATCATTTACAACTAATTTATTATTCTTACTACAAAGCCATTTGATTAATTTTTCCTAATTATTGCCGATTTTGATAAGAGGGTATAAAGTTTTGTCCATTAAAATTACCAGATTTTAAATACCATTTTTAGTATATTCACGAAGAGAAGATATGGGACCAAATGATTAATCCGTATGATTGGCCTATGTCAAACTTAATCTTTCTGATTTACTCTGTACATTTCCTGTTGTCAAGTGAAGTCAAGAAGATATAAAATGTTCCTTTCACAGTATCCTGTACAGAAAGAACAAAATCTCAAGAGAAGTTTTAGAAGTATTGTTTCTAGATAACCGTTTGTGATGTCTGTGATTTTGTTGTGTTGTATTTGCTACATGGGAAGAGATATCCTTTAAAAATATTTCCATAGTTTATTATAATAACAGTAAAACAATTATCACATCTTTGTAATACATATGAACATTTTTGTAAATAATTAAGCAAAATATTTTAAAAATATGAAAACTAGATTTATTGGAACTGGAGATACAATTCTATTTTTTGCAGTCCTTTCTGTAAGCCAAGCAAGCTAAAATAATTTTTGATAGTAGGATTTCAATCTATAAATTATCAACAAAATTTTAATATTGATTAGTTTTATTGATAAAAACCTAAAATTCATGCGTTCACTTGGAAAAAATAATAATTGATTGTAAAAAATTTCGAAAGAATATTTAAAAGGTGATTATGTTTTTGTACTTATGATTTTATTTTATTTTCTGCACAGTCAGGGTTAAATCAACATTTTAATTTTTCCGTCCCTTCGATCAATAACTTCAGTGAGGGTAAATTTATTTAACACTTATGAACATCTTGTGTAACATGTACTTATTTTTATCTAATCTAATACATATTTTTCGACACACATTGTAATCATACTATGATCATTTTTAGAAGAGTACATTTGTTTTTTCAATAATGCAAACGGAGACAGATATTAGATAGTAATGTGTTAAAATCTTAAATGTGATTCATTTTACCTAAAGTATACCATTAAAATATGCACCTTATTTATGTCAATGTGGCAATGTACTGATGTTGAAGTACTTTTGATTAGATGAAAAAGATAAAGAGAAGCACTTTTAAATCTTACACAGCGATTTAAAAACTACATAATACATATCTATTAATACTCATGACTACAAATTATAACCCTGTGCTGTACCTACATTAATAGGATTTTACTCTTAAAAGTTAAGTCAATCCTAGAAGCTTAGTATTACAAGATTAATATAATTTCATTCGCTGCTACCTGTTTTCCCCAACCCATATATCTAACAGCCTTTACCTCAAGTTTGAAGGTACATTATCCGCAACCTTACTCTTGACTTTATACACGATAGCATGGGATTCATGCACAATACATAATATACACCCTAACAAAATTTAACTGTAGTAAACATTAGCTAAATGTATATCTGACTTTGCGAATTTTCCCTATTTTATTAGATGATTCATATTAATGTTATATACACTGTATTACAGGGCTTTTCAGCGATTTTATCACTGGTACTTGCCCTTAGGTCCGCCTTATCAAGGGTCCACTTTAGCAGTATAATCTTGTGATAAACATGATGACTTTTCAATCGTCAACTTCCCTTAGTTATGCAGCAATATACCCTTATCAGCTGCATACGGGGTTTACATCTCTCATTTGATTCGTTACGCCAGAGCATGCTCTACGTATGAACAATTTCTTAAACGAGGTAAGTTATTGACAAACAAGTTGATGAAACAAGAATATCAGCAATCTCGTTTAAAGTCATCATTTCGTAAGTTCTATGGTCGATACAATGACCTTGTCAGCAAATACAACCTTTCATTAAGTCATATGCTGATTGACGTTTTTCGTACTTATTGTTAGGCCATTATAAAATATATCATTAGGTCAAATGCTGACTGATGACTTTTTTCACACTAATTGTTAGGCCATTCTTTGCACCTGAATTGTCGACGGACTTTTCCGTAATTTCCCGATCATGACAAGGAGCGCACGGCGGGTGTGACGGTCGGAAGGGGATACTCACTCCTCCATGGCACCTGATACCACCTCTGATGTCTTAAAGGTCTGTGTTTCCTCTGCTCCTATTTTGTATTGTTTAGTGGACTTTTGAGCTCGAATACTGTTCGTTATCTTGACATATTTCATTCATACAATAAGTCAAATACACGATGTTTCCTTTGGCTCTCTATTACATGTACCTTTCGTCAATTGAAAGTTAGGAAAACATCACATTTGCATTAAACTTTACTCTGTGCCCTTGAAAGTTAGGAATGTGTTATTCTAAAGGAGCTAAAGAAAGTCTACTGTTAAAAACAAGAGAATACATACTAATGTTGTGATCATGGATATTGCCCAACAAAGCCTCTACCTCAACCATTTTGACCTTTCCATGAGTGTCAAAACTTAAGAAAATTTACCTTTGCACAAGTATTCCATTCTGTACGTATCGAGAAGAAAGCCGAATCGGGAATCGTTGGACTGTATTTCATTGTGGTGTGGTTGCAATGACTAGATCATTAATGTTGAAATATTGTACCAATATGAATGTGATTGAATTTTTAAACAAAACTCAAAGACGTAAGCGAAGTCATGGACATCGTTCATACAATTTACAAAATACACAGTTTTTCCTTTGTTTCTTTATTATGTAAAAGACTCTTTAGTATCTAACAGTTACAATATTATATCAGTAATAATTAGGAAGGTGATAAATGCTTGACTTAATTTTCTTGGGAATTTGTTAAAATCATCGGGTCATTGAGAGCTTGGATACATGTTTCTAGTGTTCCCTTAAACATGAATTGTCTTTTCATTAAACTTTTATAAATTTGAAAATTATTTCAAAACTTTCGGTAACCCAAAGTCATCTCTGGACAGGTAATCTCAGCAAAAGTAACTGTCCATTTCTCAGATTCTCGGAATCTTAAATCAAAGTAGGATATCGCGAATGAACTAGTCAATTAAAGAATCAATATACAAAGCAGAATTTAATAAGTGTTAATCATTCCATGGTTATTCGATTTAATCATTCCATGGTTATTCGAGTTAATCATTCCATGGTTATTCGAGTTAATCATTCCATAGTTATTCGAGTTAATCATTCCATAGTTATTCGAAACAATAGTAGTTTACGCATTCTCTTTCGGATATGAACAGTACACTGAGATTGTTGACAATATTATATTTTAAACGGTTAACTTACATTGGCATACAGATACAATCAGCTCGGTATAACCAGCCGATTGATCAATACGGGCTAAACTTTATCTCAAGTTCAGATCAATATTAGGCCAAAGAGGAATATATGTTATTTATCCTGTGAAAAGTCCGAAATGTGAATTTCACATAAATGTCACTACACAATTTTCATGTGAAATTCATGCGATTTTTATTTGATTATAATTTGATATATGCGCATTTAAACGTCATTATTTGGCAATATTCATATATCATTAGGAAAAGATAATTAAAATCTTTCACAAGAGATAGTTTTCAGTCATACTAATATTTCACTTTTATAAATACGCCGTCACGGTAGCTCAGCAAAGCGTTCACTCCGTGATCGGAAGGTCTTGTGTTCGATTCACGGCCGCGACTGACCGTCGATAAAAAAAATAGGTAGCAACTGTTTCTTCGCCAAGCGCTCGGCACTTTGAAGTGAATGTTGCGGGTCCTTCGGAGGAGACCTTGAAACTTAGGCCCCGTGTCACGATAGGCATTGGCACGATAAGGAACCTTCACTGCTCAATGGGCGTGAGTTCCGAGTAAAGGTCTAAATTTGAAGACCTTTACCAGTATATGGTTTCTTCTCTATATGAGTGAAAAATTCTCGAACGGGACGTAAAACAACATACAATCAATCTTTTATAATTTCAATTCAAGTTTAAAGTATTGTGTTTACTTTAATTAAAAATTGAAGAAAATTTTAATTGCTGTCTAACCTATGAGAAGCACGACAATTGATTTGATTGTAACTTTCATCAACTCCTTATCATATTTATTTTAAATAAATCATAAGATATAAAAAAAAAACAACATAATGTTATCTTCCATTAATACAGAACACGTACTTTGATTCTATCCAAATTTTAAGAAAACTTCTTAAGTTTTAATCTACTACAGTGGTTTTATTTAATTTCTTTGGTTGTTACCAAGATAATTCAACTTGAAATGTTTCAACCAAAGAAAAGTATTGCTTAATTTTTCTTAAATCTTTAAGTTGTCAAGTTGCTTAAAGAGTATAAATTGATAATTTCTTTTTACTAACGCCTTGAATCAAATTAATTCAATATTTTGATTGCTCATAACTTTAGATAATTAAATTTCATAGCAAAAGTAAAACATAATTTCTTTTTGAAAAAAGTTAAAGCAAGTTCTCTACCTTGTAAAAACCATAGGGTAAGAAAGTGAACTGCAGCAAACAAGAAACAAAATCTTTACTTCTTCGGCCAATGTATACGTAGCTACTTTAATCTAAAATGTTTACCGGTACATACTTTTCAGTATATCTTTTTTCAAACAATTGTGTATCTCATGCTGATAAGTTCATATGTTTTACAAAGTCACACATACTGGTTAAATTAATAATGTCAGGTACCAACAAGACCCAACCTGACACCTAAGCAGTCCAATAAAGCAGTCCCCGGGACTGCTTTGGGACCGCTCTGGTACTGCTGTGGGACTGCTCTAGAAAGCATACCCAGCAGTCCCAGCAGTCCCCGGGACTGCTTTCTGAGACTGCTTTGTTCACTCATGAAAAAGGTTCTGAGTGACATGATAGCTCCGCCCCTTGTGTATTCTGAATTTGCAGGCTCCCTGTTGTTGTTTTGTTTACTTTCAGCATAGAGGTGTTTAAGATAAAAAATAATAAAAAAAAAAACAAGAATTTCTTACAAAATTTTAACAAGTAGGGATAGATACACGTGTACATGTAATTACTCTATGTCTTCAGGGGCTCTAAATTTACACAGTTGTAGTCTAGAATTGATTTAAAAAAAACTATATGCTGTCATGAGACAGTAATACCCGCACTAATGTGTTTGCCTCTAAATGCAGGCACATAGCATCGGGGGGGGGGGGGGGCATAGGGGGCGCCTGCCCCCCCCCCCACCCCACTTTTTTTGAAACATAACTATTTACTATTGAAAATGTTCATGAACGGGTGGTTGCATCCCCCCCCTTTTGTTGCATTATAGTCAAATAAAGGTAATGTAGTAGTGTATATATAAAATTGGAGTACTGAAAGAAGTTGGAATCTACCCCCCCCCCTCCGAAATAGGATTTTTCAGTTTTGAAAACAAATTTTCTGGCTTGTCAAATTTTTCAGGTAAGTTGAAAATTTTTTCTCTGGCTACCCCCCCCCCTCCCCCTCCACTTTCAAAAACGTTGCTACGTCCCTGAAATGTGTTCTGACTGCTCTCCTTCAAATTTTGGTAACCAGGGAAGAAGCACATATTTAATTCGAGCATAAAATGCTCAGGTGAACATGCAGCCCATATGGGCCTCTTATGTAAATCAGGTGTGGATCCAGGAATTTTTTCCAGGGGGATCTAACCCAGAAATTTCTTGACAAGCAAAAAAAATTCTATTTCATGGTGCTGGTGGTGGTGGGGGGGGGGGAGGGGAGGGGGGTTGGCCGCTCATTTTTTAAGCTTCATAAGTATAACTTTTCAACTTAACAGGGGTCCGTGTTTTCTAAAGGGGGGGGAGGTCCAAGGTCACTTTTAGTTGCTTTTGTATATAGATTTCGTGTATAGCTTCCGGACCCCCTCCCCCCTCTAGATCCGCGCATGTAAATATTTCATTACCAGTCTGATATTACCTAATTATGTAAATTCTGATAAAGAGAGAATTTTTGAAAGATTTGTGTGAAAAAAAAGGGGGGGTAATTTTCTACCCATAATTGGAACTTGTTGATTTTATTGTCAAAACAACAAATATTATTATTATTTTAGTGCATAGCTTTTTTGATGACCTTAAAAAAAATAGATGCCAACTTGTGCAAATTTTTATCAGTATTTGGGTAGGACTCGGAGAACCCCTTTCCAAATCTTGACCCAATCAACTTTGTCAAAAATCAACCCCACCCACGATTCACCCGTTTTCCTGTCATATTTAGAATAGATAACACAAACTTATGAAAAAAATGTATGTAATTATAATGTAAATTTTACAAATGTAGACTACACCTTTTTTTCGAAAATTTCTAGACTCGTGCGTGGAATTACGTCACACTGCGAGCATTACTTTTACCGTTATCATTATTGTTTTGCACATGGTGTATGTACATCATTATTACCACTGGGATTATTAATATTTAGTGTGTGTTTTAAATGGATTTATTATTCTATCAAGTTAACAGTAGCTATAACAGGCGGTAAGTACTATATTATGAATATATTATTTTAAACGTTTAGTATAGAACGGGGCTTGTTTGTTGTTTAACGTCCTTCTCGAGAATTTTTCACTCATATGGAGACGCCACCACTTGCCGGTGTGGGCTGCAAATTTTAACCTATGGTCGACACAGATCTCCACGTCCTGCAGTGGATTCGAACCCCCGACTTAAGGATCAGCTCCTTACTCCACGACTCTAGAGCAGACTTTCTAATCACTGCGCCACACGGGCGACTAGAACGGGGTAAAATAATCGGAAATGAAAATGGTTAGAGGCCTTTAGTTGGGGTCAAAGATCATTGGAATGCCACGATTACACAAATTATACAATGAAGCAAGTCCCTTTGGCAATTCCACTCGATCTTTGGAACCGGAAACAATACAATAGCTTTTATTAAAGCAAAAGCCCCTAAGTCATCTTTGTATTATAACACACTAAATAGGATATATGGGGTCATGACCCCCAGAGGTCATTCCCAACCCCTAAAACTTGAAACAAATGATCATATACATTGTATCTTGAAAATGGTTGAAAACTCTCCCCTTAACCATATATAATATTGTCCCTCGAGTCATTATGCATTAAATGGTATAAAGGTTATGACCCCTTGAAGTCATCCTCATCCTGAAACTGGAAATGATCACAATATGACCTGCATCAAAAGTGTGTTAGTGATAATCTGCTTGACATTTTATTCAGGACCCCCTAGGGTCAGTCCACCCTCCTAGAATTAGAAAATGAAAATCATTCAGAGACCCGCCATTATACTTTGTGTACATATACATGCATTTTTGTATAATTCACAATTTATTTTATACAAAAACAAGTTATAAGTAATTTGTACAAATAAATGAGCCTGGGGCTGGGAAGGGGGAAAAGGGGAAGGAGTTATGTCTGCATGGTCTTAAATGTTGAAAACTCCTGAAATTTGTGAATATTAACCCTTTCGTTTCCCACTTGTCATCATTATTTACTGATCTTCTCACAACATACATGTGTCTTTATTAAATCAATAGATCATGGACTTTTTGGTCATATGCCTAGCTCTCCCTTGAATCAGGAATGGTGATATAAATATTTTAAGAATGATTAAGAATTAAAACAGGTCTTGCACAATCTCTTTTTGATTGATTAAGCTCTGTAGTTGAATTAGCTATACTTGTATAGCTTGGTTTTGCTATTCAAAACACGTTGATTTAGCTATTTATTCATACTTTTCTTTAATGTACATTTTTATCAATATAGATAAAGTTGCACTATGTTGACATGGGTATAAATTTTAAATTTTCAGCTTTTTCTGAAAACAATGCATGGAGGAAAATTGCATTTCAAAAACTGTCTCCTGAGAATTTGCTATCACAGATATATATATCTTGCATGGGGCTATATACCTGGAGTAATCTCTCTCTCTCTCTCTCTCTCTCTCTCTCTCTCTCTCTCTCTAAGATCTACTTGAATCAAAATTAAAGTGGAATTATAAATCAATTTTTTTTAATTGATGACTTTTTAGGATTTTACACTAATTCATACTGCAGCAAGAATGTTATCCCTCCCAGAAAAAAAATAAGTTTACTCACTATCTTGTCTTTGATCTATATCTATAATTACAAAGGGACACAGCCAGAAGTCTTTTAACGTGGTTTGTTACAAATTTCACTTGTAACTCCTATTAATTTGCTCAAGATCAGTATTTTCAGTAGGCAGAAATGAACTTGATCAATTATGCTTGAAAAGTACTCACTGTGAACAATCACCTGACTTGTTGAGGACAGGTAAACATTCCCCTCAGGGTAAAATTATCATACAAAGGCCTGAATAAAATTGAAGTCATAATTAAATCATCATTATCTTGGTTAAAATAAGAAGAAACACACTAGAGGTGTGATGAAATATTTAGAAACACAAAGAGTTTTATTTCTCATGCAAAATATTCTTTCTTGTGTAAAACAATTGTTCAAATGAAGGGCCAAACCTTTTAAGGGGAGATAAGAATGAGTGAAAATTTAATGTTATTTCAAAAATCTTCTGATGAAGAACCACTGGGCCAGAAAAGTTTAAAATTATGTGAAACTTCATTACTTAGTGTAGATTCAACTTTGTCCAAATCATGACCTTCAGGGGTAGGGTGCGGCCACAATAGGGGATCAAAGTTTTGTAAACATGGGAATGTACAGTAAAACACGCTTATAACAAAGTGCCTGGGACGGACGATTTTGCTTTGTTATAAGTGTAATTGCTTATATCCATTAAGTTTACAATATATTTTAAAGTCCCGGGGAAAGAAAATCGCTTTGCTGTAAGTGTCAATTCATTATAGGCTTGTTTCGCTATAAGTATGCTTTACTGTATAAGAAAAAAATTCCTTCTCAAGAACCACTAGGCAAGAAAAGTTGAATCTTATGTGAAAGTTTCATTACATAATGTAGAAACAAAATTGTTCTATCAAAACTACTCCTCCTACAGGTTTAATGCAACAAGGAGACTTTACTAGTCTACATATTGTTTTTGTCAGTTTTCTTATTCAATCAAATTTTGTCCGAGCCTTAACTTGACAACCCTTCGACATTAAGACTTCAAACTTGAAACATGGAGAGGTGGTATGGAATTAGGGTTGAGGCCACCAAACTCTTTTTACCTTGACCTTTTGATAAGGTCAAGGTCAATTTTTACATAAAAATATAGTCCAGGCTATAACCTGAGAACTCTTTGACATTAGAATTTCAAATTTGAAACATAGAAAAGACATTTACAAAAGATGCACTGCACTAAAATGTTGACCTTGACTCCTTTCTTCATTCAAGGTGAAAATGAGAAAAACACCTCCAAACCATAACTTAAGAACCTTTTGACATTAAAACTTCAATCTTTGAACATGGAGAGATGGTATGGAGAAAGGGTGCATGCAAACAAAATTTTTTACCTTGTTTTTATGCCCCACCATGAAGATGGCCAGTGCATATAGTGTTCGTCATGTCCGTCTTCTGTCCTTTCATCCTTCCGTCTGTCTTTCCATCACGCTTTGCGTTTAGCTCTGTTCAAAGCTCAGTTTCAAAGAAACTATCAAAGATACTTTTTATCAAACTTCAAATGTTGATAGATATTGATGAGTGCTATGTAACTGCATCAACATTTTTTGACCTTGACCTTTCCTTTGACCTTGACCTCGCTTTTCTTAAATTAGTGTTTAGCTCAGTTTTAAAGATACCATTCAAGATAGTGTCATTAAACTTCTTACGTTGATATATACTGATGTAAGCTATTCAACTGCATCAACATTTTTTGACCTTGACCTTTCCTTTGACCTTGACCTCATTTTTCTTAAATTAGTGTTTAGCTCAGTTTTAATGAAATCATTCAAGATATTTTTATCAAACTTCATATGTTGATACATACTGATGAGAGCTATTCAACTGCAACAATATTTTTTGACCTTGACCTTTCCTTTGACCTTGACCTCACTCTTCTTAAATTAGTGTTAAGCTCAGTTTTAAAGATACCATTCAAGAAATGTAATCAAACTTCATATATTGATGCATACTGATGTTAGCTATTCAACTGAATCAACATTTTTTGACCTTGACCTTTCCTTTGACCTTGACCCCACTTTTCTTAAATTTGTGTCAAAATTCATATGCTGATACATACTGATGTAAGCTATTCATTTGCATCAATATTTTTTGCCCTTGAACTTTCCTTTGACCTTTACTTCATTTATTTTAAATTAGTGTTTAGCTCAGTTTTAAATAAACCATTCAAAATATTTTTTATCAAACTTTAATATGCTGATACGTATTTGTGAGAACTATTGAACTTCATCAAAAATGTTCGACTTTTAACTTTCCTGTGAACTTGACCTCACTTTTTTTGAATTTGCATTTTGCTTAATTTTAAAGAAACCAGTTAAGATATATTTATGTAAGCTTGAGCACTTATACATAATTTGGTGAGAGTTTATCATCTATATCCAACTTTTTAGATTTCAGTTTCAATTTTAAAGAAACTATGCAAGATATTCTCATCAAATTTCATACACTAATACAATTTTCATGTTGCATTTCTAATAAACCTTCGTCGGGGCATTCATGTCCTATGGACATATTTCTAGTTGTATCTAAAGCCATCATTTTTCTACCCCCATTTGACCCCAATGTCGAGAATGAAAATTACGAAATCTTATTGCACAACTACAGGACACCACCAATCATCTTTCAAAAGATGATTAGGCTGCTGTGTAAAATGTAGGAGGAGTTCTGGGAACCACTGGGTCTTTTTGTATTAAAAAAAGAATCATTTTTTGACCTCCATTTGACCCCCAGGGTGAAAATGAAAATTCTGAAACCTTACTGCACATCTACAGGACACCACCAATCACCTTCCAAACGATGATTAGGCTACTGTGTAAAATGTAGGAGGAGTTCAGGGAACCAGGGGCTTTTTGCATAAAAAAAAAGTCATTTTTTGACCCCCATTTGACCCTCAGGGTGAAAATGAAAATTCTGAAACCTTACTGCACATCTACATGACACAACCAAACATCTCCTAAAAGATGATTAGGCTTCTTTGTAAAATGTAGGAGGAGTTCAAGGAACCAGGGGCTTTTTGCATAAAAAACGTCATTTTTCGACCCCCCTTTGACCCCCAGGGTGAAAATGAAAATTCCGAAACCTTACTGCACATCTACAGGACACCACTAACCATCTCCCAAAATATGATTAGGCTGCTGTGTAAAATGTAAGAGGAGTTTGAGAAATAAGAGTGTGACAGACGGACGGACGGACGGACGGACAGACATGAGTAACAACAATATAGAAAGTGCGGGTATAATGAAAGTAGTTAAAAAGGGAAGTCAGGAGATGATTTTTATCCCTTAAATTAAACTTTAATACAGGTGTTTGAAAAAAAAATTATCTAGGTCTATTTAATTAATCAATGCTATCAAATTATGTACTCATAGTTTGCGTTAGTACTATTTAAAAAAATAAACTTGTTATTACAGTAAGATATTCAGAGGGACGCATTGTACTGGATTTTTTTAATTGAAAAAGCTAAAACCATACTAAAAGAGCGCATTCCATGTATTTTTTTTTTTTACCGCCCTCAAATAAAACCTAATAGTTTATTAAATGACCATGAAATAGAATTATTCTACCATTCTGCCGTCATATAAACAATGTGAACAAGTATTGGGGGATTTATTTATGAATTAGTTTTTAATTTATAAACCAAGTTATTAAAAAAGTACATTTATTTAGAAAATAAACATTTGAAAATATCGGGAATTGTGTGGCGTCAACACTTGAGGTTTCAATCGCCTTTGGGCATGATTAGCAGAAAGTCAATGAATGGTATCAGTGTTACACATCACTGAACATGCTGGTCAACAATGACACTATTTTCAATTTATGAACTGCAAAAAATCTTTGTTTCAATAAATGTTTATAGATTTTTTTCGGGATTAATTAATTTTAAGCATAATCTGAGGGTTCCATTTGTGTGATTTACAGATGTACACTCGAACGTTTATATACTAATAAAACACTTAAAACTGAGTGTTATTGTTTTCTGTTACATAGAGAATCTAACGATAATCAAATTGGCAAGTCAGTGAAAATAATCATGACTGAAATACAATACTTGGCAAAATTTTACAAAGAATTTTTCAAAAGCCCCAGTACTTTCCAGTAAGAAAAATGCATTCAGAGTATAGTATAGAAATCGGCCTTGCTCTATAATTATAAGATCTATTTAAAGCTAATTCTGATAGAAAAAAAATAATTCAAGTTTAATATTCTATAAAAATAAATAAATATGGAAACCAATATCAATCACAGAAAATAAAGAAATTGATTTATTTTGGTGAAAAATTAATATACAAAATAACTGTGTTTAAACAATCATATTATATGTAGATGTTAACGTCTTCTTCGTTCAATATTATTTTATTATTTGTTTCTATACACGTACTGTGATTGTTTGACAGTTCAGAAATGACTGTCACATAAGAATTGTAAATATTTGTTGTTACTGCTCAGAAAGAAATGCATCATCCATTTCCACTGTCTTTTATAGTTACATTGTTTATTGATAATCTCCGTCCATTAAATTAATTAACCCCGCCCACTGGGACTGCTTTCTGGGACCGCTGGGACTGCTTTAGCAGTCCCAGAAAGCAGTCCTCGGGACTACTCTGGGACTGCTTTGTGTCAGGTTGGGTCTGGTTGGTAATGTAGCTCTGACCCGCATTATGCAGTGCTAAGAACGTTTGTGCTAGAGTAGCGTAGTAAAGAGTTGTACCTTACGTCGCTAATTTAAATACTACTGTGGGACGTACCGACCGGTCCTTCAAATGAGATCATGTAAATTGAGGTTCTGTGTCGCAGTAGGTGCTGGCACGAAAAAGACCCCTCATTGCTCAAAGCCATAAGTTCTGAGTACAGATCTCAAATTGCAGCCCTCTACCAGCAAGTTGTGGAGGCTCAACATAAAAGAAAAAATTTCGACTGGACGTTAAAAACAAAGAAGCAAACAAATTAAAATTCGGCATTTAAATGCTTACATTGTATGTGAACAGAATATTTCAAAAACAAAGAAAACAAACATCGTTAATCACACCCATGACGTGAATATAACATGCATAAAAAATACACATCAATGTAATGTTACTCAGGCGAGTTTCGTTGCATACTGGCCGCTTTTTTTTTTTTTTTTTTTTTTTTTTTTTTTTTTTTGATAACGTTAATATCCCTTTTGTCACCATGTTCCATACTTAAATGACATTCATTTATATGTCGTTGTAATTTAGGTTTTTAAGTA